CGAGTCTCGCCGACATGTTAATTTAGCAACCGCAGGCGTCAAACCAACCAGAGGCAGGAGAGTTATCATGGACCGCCTCTGCATCGCCATCCCGCGCGCCCTCATGTCCGCCACAAATGTCGCCACTATCCCCGCCTGTGTCGCCAAACCCAGACGCCACAACATCTCGACGACCCCCGCTAGTGGATACCCCTCTCAAACCCGGCTGACGACCCGCGCTCGCAGATGTCACCCGTCTCATCTTACTCCATGGCCGATCAGCGCGACCGAACAAAATCGTGTCCCGTCCATGGTCTCTCGTGTCTCTCTGTCTGTGAGCAGCCGACCTCGGGGTGTGACTGCGGCGCGGCTGGACATTTGCGCGGACCCCGGGGACAACGGCTCTACACCCCCATAAGAGGGCACTACAATAGAACCTCCAGATGGTAGGCTCGGGCTGGCTGGCGCCCTAGACAAGTCCGGTCGACCGGTGTCTATCCCGGTGTAATCCATCATGGCATGATCATGCCATGCGCCTCCAACTCCTCGGCGGTCATACAACCGAATGGAAGGGTGCCGCGAGCCTAAGGCACATACCTCGACTATGTCCTCTCCCTAGACAGTGCGAAAGGGGGGATCGGAGGCGCGCACATGCCCCTGCGTACACGTTGCTCTACGATCGAGGCGACACCACCCGCACGACGCATCGGATCTATAGGAAACGGTGCCTCATGTCGCACCATCGGCCCCACGGCCGTGCGGACCATCAAACTCCGAGACGCCTCGTGCCTCTCTCTGTCAGGCGTACCGATCGCCTCCTGTCTCTGTCCGACCCCGCCATCAACCTCTGCATGGCGACCGCCCTCAACCAATGACATCGGATCACCATGGACTCGCTCCTCTACCCCCCCAACAACAGTGTCGCCCCCAACATCCCCCCCCACCCTCGTGGTCGGCGATATCGTATCTGCCCATGCCAATGGTGCATCATCATCAACGCCCATTGACTGACCCGTCTATATGTCCTCCAAACCCGGGTCGCCTGGTGTAGTGACCGCAGTCGCATTCAACCCCTTTGCCTCCCCCGGCATCCCAGCTGCCTCGCCTCCACCCGTTCCGGCTCTGCCGTCGCCGCTGCTGGCTGCCTCCCCATGCAACCCTGCTGATGTCCCCTGGCCTGCAGCTGCCTCCCCCTGCGTCCCTGCCGAAGCTGCCGGCACAGCTGCCTCCCCCTGCGTCTCATAGTGAATCTCTTTCCTCTGATCGACGTGGCCAGCCGCATGTGTGTAAGGGGGCATCTCCGTAAACGTCCCCAACTGTCTCTGTCGCTCCTCCGCCGCTAGACGGGCGAACTCCTGTATCTTGGGGTCAGCTTGTGCCAGGAGGCAAGCTCGACGACTATCGAGCCTGTCCAACCTCTCTGTCGATGTCTATCCAGGGGGTGTGGCCTCCTCGTCAACCTAAACCTCCGCTGGCGACGCTCCTAATGCTCTGTGCATGGTAGGGGTGAAAGTCTTCGGCTGCGTAGCGCTGATCTGTTGTAAAACGGCCTGCATGCCGGTAGACACGTCCCCCCAAGAATCGCTCTCTCCGGGAGGCGGTCCCAAATCACCAGACTGACTAAAACCTCCGTCGCCGCCCATCGACACCCTGTCATCACCACCCCCCCCAACACCCTCCGTCTCAACCGCCTCTTGAATTGGACTACGTCCATCTCCTCCGAACGGAGGAGTACGTCGACGAGTCGGCCTCTCCACAACTCTCTCGACCCTCTTAGTCGATGAATGACCACCCACCAATCTCTCCTCTAATCGTTGTCTCGGCCCCTTCACCAATCTATGCAATCGCCCTCTCGGGGGCGAACCTTGATGAAGCTCACCTGACGGAGGGGGAACAACGCCAGATGAAGCCATCTCACTGCGTAAATGGTCGGGATGCTGCCCTGCAATACCGCCACCGCAAGCTGACTCTGCCCCCCTGGAACGCGCAGAGTCGTGCACCGCCTGCGTATCGACAGAATGTGGCCCCGGAGACGAAGGCTTCTCTCGCTCAAAAGGGTTCCCGTCACCTCCACCAAAAAGATCGCCCCCGCCACTACGTCTATGGACCTCCTCCGGGTCGCTCCACTCATCACCCTCTCCCGGTCCTCCTGCGGGATGGTCTGCAAGTCCCGCCCGCTCCTCCCCCCTCTTAGGGCCCTTGTCACCACTGTCGTCATGTCTGGGATAGGCCCACAAAGTGGCAGCCCAAGTCCCAAAAATATCTCTGACCTCTCCAGGAGGAGCTCTCGACCCCAACGGGTCTCGCATCCACGAACGTCTCTGCCTCCCCCGGTCCTCCTGCGACCTGTTGGGGTCCGTCCCCTGCCACGACGGCTGAGTCCCGATGCCTCGCTCGATATCCAACATGCACTCGTCGACCGTCCATGGCAATGCAAAACCGCGGCCAGCTCGCTGATGAGAGAGAAGGCGGACGTTCGCCGAGATCTCGACCAACTTTGCAACCTTCTCGAACTCGAGCTTGTTGCGCTTTCTTCGTGTGCACAGCCTCGTGGACGGCCCAGCTCCTCTCTGCGGAAGAGGAACATGTCCACATGTACATGATACGAAGAGCGATGGCCTGCAGCTGCGGGGCGCACTGTCCCCACTTTGACCACCAACAACTGGCCTCGTACGTCTCCACGTCGTTGGTACACCTTTGCGCCTCCATGTCTTTGTCCCTCCCCACCCACTCAATCCCCCCTCTCCGTGTGTGGAAGTCGCGGAGCTGGGCACATGCAGCCTCGTAATCCGGGCTCGCGACACTAAACCCAGTCTGTGTGAGAATGTACATCTCTGCCTCCCGTACAAGTCTCGCATCGTAGTCGTTGACGACGCCCTCGTAGTACCTCAAGTCTCTGCGACTGGGATAGAGAAGGTGAGCAACGGCGTGCACAGGCTCTAACAGGTCAACACACCGAGCCTGCACCTTCAGCATAATGAAGTGTGCAACGCCCGATGGAAGTGCGCGGACCTCGCGTGCCATATCGCGGGTCACATCCTGCGTCCACTGCACAATCCGCGACATGTGCAACCCTTCTCGGTCCAACGTACGAGGCATGTCGTACACGGGCTCCACGATGCGGACAAGGACACCCATGGAATCCCACCAAGGATCATGCCACACATGCCACCTCACCCACCGAGCCAGTTGAGCAACGCTACTGTCCTAGGGGACCAAACCCCAACCATCGCCGTCCACCGTCCTCTCCAATGCTGACCTGACTGCCAACAAACGCTCCATCATGGCGAACAAAGAGCCGAATCGTGTCTCACAGGGATAAACAAGCCCCATCTGCGTGCTCTCCTCCCTGAAGATGTGCAGAGCGGCGTCGTGCTCCTTAATGAAGCGCACCACCGCTCTCCCACGCACAATAATGTCCTTCGACCACGGGCTTGACAAGCCAATATCTGACAACATTTTGTTATAGACATGCACTGCGCACGACAGCCACGTGATCCGTCCAATCTCTGGCCTCTGTTCAGGCCCCTTTATCATGTTTGTCGCAGCGACGTAAGCAGAGGCAGAGCCCGTGCAGATGGCATTCACCCACCGAGGAGGAAAGTCATCAAACACCTTGATCCAGTGCGCCAAAACGTCAGCCGCCTGGTCTCTCTCGCCCTCCCTGTTCATTGTCCCCACCATCATCACTCCGCGCGACCCGCCGGCAAGGAAGTTAACGATCGGCCTCGCATCCCGCGACTTCCTGCCATCGGACATGATGGTCGCCCCCGTCACATAGAAAGGAGCCCTGAACTCTGCGAAATCACCGGCCACATCGCCGACAGTGCGGGCAAAACGTGTCCATGTCGGCGATCTCATTGTGGGACAGCCACAAAAACCTTTAGCGGCCCCGGCAAGTCCCTAAAGTGCCTTACGAAATCCTTCCATGGCTCGCTCTGAAAAACGTTGAACGGCAAACGCTGACTGTAGACAAACCGCAAATACTTTTTTTTGAACTTCATCTGCCATTGCGAAGAAAATGACTCCGTGATGGTGTTCTGTCTCATCCTCTTTTCCCCGCTCAGCCTCGCCGCCTCCTCTCACTCCTTTCTCTTCCCCACAGCAGTCGCCGCGTCTTCGGCATCCCGCTGCGCTCGAGAGCGAGCCGACACATGCGCATCCTTAAAGAAACGGCCTTGCTGGCCCCACAGCTCGTGAACGACGTCCTTCCCTTTGTCCCTCGTGGACGGCCCAGGCCGCGCGGCCCGCTCAGCCTCGTCATGTTGTCAACGTCGATCACGTCCTCGTCACCCCTCTCTTGTCCAACTCCTCCCGCCCCTCCCTCGTCCCTGCGCGGATCCATAGGAGGTGTCGGACCGTGAAGCTCCTCCAACCGAAGCATGCGGTCAAGGATCTTGCCCTCCAGCTTGTTGTCCGAGTTGTAGTGTATGTCCACCAGCGCCTCGTCGATCACTGACGGGACACCCTTTCCCCTGCCTGAAATGTCGTGCCGCCACGTACGGGTTTCCCCGGAATTCATGGCCGCAGAACAGGCACTTCAACATGCGGTTCCCGCGGAACCTCTCCCCGAGACTCTGACCGACGCAGATGTACTTGCACACACAACATTTCTTCTGCGCCTTGCGATTTTCGTTTTCCCCGATGTCCTCAAACGCCCGCACCTGCCCTCGTGGCATGTTGGTCGTGCGCTGCGACCCTTCTCAGCCTCCGCAATCCTCGCCCTAGCCACCCCAAAGGGTCGTCGATGTGCCGAAGAAAAAAAATCCGCACCCTGCTCCGCCCAACCCCGTTCCCCCAAACCCCCTCACCCGCCACTTCTCGCCCCCCCCCGGGGCGAAATGTCCTCGGCCCCCGGCCCCCAGCGGCAGCCCAGGCACCGCCACGATGGTCGCAATGACTGCCCGCCCCAAGCCGCGCCTGACACGGAGCCTATGCCCAACCGCGTTCAATGAATGAACGCGCGTTCAATTTTTTTGAACGCGCGGGTTCGAAAAGTGAACGCGCTCCTGTCCACCTGCGTCATCGATGACGACTGTGCCCCCGTCGTCGTCGCTGCCAGCGGGGTCGTTGCCGTTGTCATCGCCACCGTCGCCTTCGTCTCTCTCTCTCTCTCTCTCTCTTTCTCTCTCTCTCTCTCTCAAAAAAAAAAAAAGAAGCAAACCCCAATTATAATCGAAGCAACAAAATATAATAATGATAATATTAATATAAAAAGCAAGAAAAACGAAGAAGAAGGAGAAGAAGAACAATTAAGAAGAAGAAGAAGAAGAAGAAGAAAGAAGAAGAAGAAGAAAGAAGAAGAAAAAGAAGAACTTCAAGAAGATGTAG